GACTTCCTTTTATCCAAAAAGCTTGTTTTATTTTCTTTTACTATTTCTTTTGCAAAAACGTACTATACCCTTTTGATAAACATTTGCTTTGAAAATTTGATGGTTTTTACACAGCATGATAAATAAAATACAAATATTACTTTTAAGATTGTTTGTAGTCCGGTTGGTGGACAAAGCAGTCATGCTATACCTGGGGCACGTTTGGTTGATTTGTTTTGCAGGAATCGTCATTCGTTCACTTATGTGTAATTTGTCAATACCATAACAACATCTTTCAAGATGACGATGGCATCCCCAGCTTGGGTCGTTTCCCCAACATCATTGAAGCTTCTACTTCTCCCTAGTGAGTCTTCCTCAAACAAAGGGATTGTGGCTAAAAAGTGTGACTGATTTAGAAAGATTGGGATAATGTTCCCCAACAATTCTTGAAGTTGTCTTCTCCCCAGCATCACCAAGAGGAGAATCCTTGTCTAATGAGTTTGGATTAATATGACTTCTTGGTAAATAATTTACATCCCCAACAGATATATGATGTTGTATTCATGGGAGAATGTCAATTCCCAGAAGCAGATATCCATTATTCCACAACCAAGAGTTCAGGTTGAGAATTTTCTTATTCCCCTAAAGTGTTGCCTTTGAAGATTTCTCTTATTCCCCGGCGAAGTCGCTTCACCAAGATTTCTTATTCAAGAACTCTTTCATCTCCCCAACGGAAGCTTATCTTGAGACTCCTTATGTTGAAAATCTTTTCTCACCAGCCGAGTTTGTTTGAGAGTTGTTCATTTTTCCCAAGCTGAGTCGTGTTGAAGATTATCTCACTCACTAGTAGAGGCTATTTTCTGAGATCTCTTGCTCAGGATCTTTTATTCTCCCGGGCTAAGTTTCCTTATGGAGATCTCTTATTCAGGAATTCTCATTTCCCCAGCTGAGACATTTCATTGAAAGTTCTTATTTAAGGATTCTCCCTTTTCCCCAGTAGGGTTTTATCCTTGATGTTGATAAGTGTCATATCCCCGGAGGAATGCGCTATTGTGACTTTTTACCCGAGGTTTCTTGTATCCCTAGCATGCTCGTCCTTTTTTAAGATTATTCCTAAATCCCCGGTTGAGTTTCTTACGCCAATATTACCTCCTCTCCAGCAAGATTTTTGTGCATGAGTTCTCTTATCTCCATATGGGATTACCATATCCCCAGCAATACAAGCTTTTGCCATCTCCAAGCAAGAGGTTGAAAAATTATTCCTCAAGCAGTTATAAGTGAATTTTGACTCCCTGCAGGCCCCATGTTATTGGTGTTTTCCCCAACAATGCCCAATCTTCAATTGGCATCCCTTCTCAGAATTTACAGTTTCAATCTGATCTTCTCCAACAAAGTTTGTAATTCATTTTTATAAATACCCTCAATGTTTGTATCCTATATTTACCTTTTGCTCAGTTGTTACTCCCCACAGAATTTCAGCTTTTCAAGGATTCTCCAACGGTTCCTTGTATCTTATTTTCTCCAGCAGAATCATGCACCATCACATTACATCCTCAAAGTGTATTGTTTCTATTTCTTTTTGGAACATTACTCCATGAAAAAATAATTCAAACATGCTTTGAAACATAAGCCATTATTGTTTCTATTTTCCCTAGTGGATTTGCTAAACTTTGGATTGCATCCCCAGCGAGGTCAATTTACCCTCATTATTCCAGTTTCCACCCATACAAATATCCTTTACCAGTTAAGCAGTTGAGTGTCTACTCACTATTTTTGGAAATGGTCCAGTTTTACCTTGGCGCAATTTTCTCGAGTTTTTACTACCCTTGTTGGTTCACTTCAAAGTTTATTGATATACTTTATGAATACCAGTTTTACCCTGATATTCATTTTCAACCTAGTTTTGTCTAGTTTCTCTTAGATTGAGTTTTATCTCTTTACTTGTGCGTGCAATCCAGTTTTGTCCTGGTACTCATCTTTGGACTAGTTTTATTCAGTCTTCTTGAGTCGAGTTTGCTACTCGTTTTAAGACTCATCTTTGGACCAGTTGTGTCTAGTCTTCTTGAGTTGAGTTTTTACTCGTTATTCGTCTCTTTTATTCATTGGGTTTGTCCAGCATCGTCTACTGTCTACCCTCGTTTGAGACCGGCAAGTGTCTTGTGAAATACACGCACTTCTCGTCACCTTGCTATACGGCCCAATTTCTATTTTCTTCCTATTGAGTATTTTTTCAGAGCCTAGTTTAATCTAGTTCCTCTTAGGACGAGTCTTGTCTCGTCACCTTGTTGGCACAGCAATTTCTACATGGCACATTCTTTATAGTACTCCCGGAGGCCGAGTTTTGTCTCGATAACCTCTACTCAATCCCAGCAGCGTTCAACTAGTGTGCTAATGGTATAAGTTTAGCTTCATTTGTCCTTTGTTGATCGAGACCATTTTATTTTTGGTATACCCGTTTAGATCTGATATATATTTGTATCTTTTGGAGTCTAGTTTTATCTAGTCTTATTGGGTTGAGTTTTATCTCATTATTTCAATTGGTGTTTCAGTTTTGTGTTGGCACATTCTTCTATAATCTAGTATTATTTAGTCTTCTTGGATTGAGTTTTATCTCATTTTTGTGGTCTTTGATTAAGTTTTACTTGGCATATCCCTCTAGAGTCTAGCATCCACTAGTTCTCTTGGTGTAAGTACAAACTCTACTTGACTTACTTTTCGAGTTCAATCTCTACTTGACTTACTTTTTTAGTCCAATCTCTACTTGGCTCTTCTTTCAAATTCAATTTCTACTTGGTATATCTCTTGAGTCCAGTATTATCTGGCACTCTTTAGTAAAATTTGATATTCACTAGTGTTCCCCCTCTTTCACCTAGTTTGCTTGGTTTCATCCTCACAAAAATACAGTTACCCTTGTTGGTTTACTCTCTTATTCAAAAGCATAAATTTTCAGATTCTTTTAGTATTCAATCCTCTTCCACCTTAAACGTTTTAAAATTGTCATGTTTTCTCACTTATAAGGTTTAATATGATTGAATAGGGGTCCAAAATTTACCCTCTTGTTATAGAACTTTAAAGGCTCATGTTTTATCATATATGTATTCATACATTGTGACAAGATCAAGGTATATTGGTCCCCAAGTTCCTCTACAAGCTATGAAAGTTGATTGTGTTGACAATCAATACAAAAAGGGTCTCATGCCCTCAATCTTTTAGTCACTCAAGCTACAATGATTTCTCATACTTCAAAACATCTCAATTGTCTCTTTGACTTGTCAGAAATTTGAAATTACAAAATTCTCCTATGCATCTCTTGAGATTAAGGTTTTTGTGCCCAATTTTGAAAGTGTGGTTTCGTTCATTAAAAAACTTGTGAAGAATCTCCGCTGGAGCCTCAAACTAGGCGTTTTTTGGTTGTCGAATTGTTTACACAGTAAAGCAATTGTTTGATTATACAGTAACGAAATTGATTTTTTGATTAAAAATGAGATGAGTTAAAACAAATTGATTTATGTTTTACTCAATAATATCCTGCAATACAAGTTGAACGACATAAACGTAATAAATAGTTCAGATAATAGTCAAAGAAATTCCCATAACATGCACTTTATTTCAATATCATAGTTTAAACGAAAATAACAATGAAGGCTATTTATAACCTTCTAGACACAAACAGCAAATAATAGAAAATAACAATGAAGGTTATAACCTTCTAGACAATGTGTTTAAGCCATCAAGGCTACACTTATTTAAAACAGACAAACATAATAAAGACACAAAAGCTACTCTTCTTCATCTTCATCTTTCCAGCACTTGAGTGTTGATCTAGGCGAGCCACAGTCGGAAGCCTTGACAAATTTTTGGTAGACAACAGATCCACTCATTCCAAGACCTTGGTGGCTCTTCTCATCACAACAGTACCCCTTGACATCCAGCAAACACCCCTGCTCAAATGACTTGCTTGCATTGTCCACATGAACAGCTACAGAAAACTCAGTTGGTTGGAAACAAGCTAGCACCCTCATCACCATTTCGTTCAGATTCATTGCCTTCAAATCGTACCCTGCAGTCTCAAAGCTTGCATAGCTGAAACCATCTTCAGGAGTAATATGAATTGTAGATACAGCAGGCCCCTCAACAGAGTTCATTGAATAACCACAAGGTTCAAAATCAAAGTCGCAAATTTCAGAATTTGGAAGAATTTTTCTAATGCCGGAGTTGACGGTCATCTCGGCAGCTGAACCTGTTTGTTGTTTGAAGAAAACGGATGCTTTCTCTCTGTCTAAGCCGGTCATACACATCTCGAGTGTGTAGACAGAATCTGCTGGGCTCACGGAATCAGCAGAGGCACAGTAGACATGCCAATTCTGGGCTTCATCGGATCCACCCATAATATAAGCCTTGCTGCCTGATCCAAGTTTGCCAAAGAAGCCATCGAGGACAGCCACTTCTTCGGAAAAGTGGCGATGAGGGAAAGACTGAGCACCAGGGAAAATGAAGCTGCCACGGGTGTACCTCACAGCTCTAACATCTAGAGAAATGGACTCGGCCAATTTCAATATCGGTGGGATTGCAAGCAGTAACTTGGTAGTACCACAGGTTTTGATTATGATCTTGTAGGCATAAACAAAAAGGCTGGACTCAGATAGAACATAGGAATCAACATCCTCGTTTGCAAGGGAAGAAACAATGGTGCACTCAGCTGGTGCAAGAATCTCATCCAATTGGGATTTTGTGAGAGATCTTAAACCCCTTCCTTGAGGGTCAGAGAAAAGTCCGGGATCGGAAAAGGATATTTCCAACCTCTTTTCGAAACCTTCGAAACCAATTGCAGAAACAGCCATGGCCACAGTTCAAACAGACAGAAATACAAAAGAAACGAGGAGAGAAAAAAAAGTATAATAGCAAGGAGAGGAATTGGAAAGATGTTGTTTGAAGGAGAGCAGTGAAAAAAGCTAAAGAAAAACAAAAAAAGCTAATAGTAAAGTGCTTGCATGCACGGGAAGGAGAATCAGGACGGTATATCAGGATGGCTTGCGAGCGCACTGCAAAGAATTGAAACAACAAAAATATGTATCAATATATAGATCAATTAATAATCAAATTGATGGAATTTACAAAATCATAATGCAATAGTATCATTTTTCGAATGAAAGAAGACTAACGTTAGAGTAAGCAGCTGATCTGAACTTCTTGATTCCACCGTTTGGACGAATGTCTTCGATGCTGTATCCGAGGGGGGCTTCGTAGAATAATGATGAGGAATTACTACTACTACTAGACTTCTTTTTACCTCCTTTAGACTCCATTAGCTCATTCAGTCCTGGTAACAGACAATATAAACAACATACACATTAGAATTATGACGTAAAATCAATAACAAGATGGCATAAAACAACAATCATAAGTTTCAGCATTCATTTTTTTGAGTAATACAAATAATAATTATGTCCGCTTTACATAATTTTAACATCATGAGCAAATTATGTGTTTTCAAAATTACTAATATTTAAAAGCAAATATCTTTAAAAAGGTTAAAGAGTTGTTAAATCAACACCACCAATGATGAAGGATCAAATATTTAAAAACTTCTAACACCATAAAAAGTGATAAAGTACGACAAGGATTAAAGACGTGACATAAAATCCCAACCAACAATCCAATGGTAGGTCCCGGCTAATAAAGTCATACATGAACATGAAGATATAACATTAATTTCCATGCACATAAAAAACCTTAAGAACAAGCCATGCTCCAAATGAAACAAGTTCATCAGATCCAAAGATTGCGAAACATTCAACATAAAAAAAAAAAAAAAAGAAGAATAGGTACCTGTTTTGATAAGGTATGATTAAAATGCCGCAGCTTTCAAAACCTTCTACCCACCGCCAAGATCGAATCGAACAAAATCTACAAACAAAAAAAAACAGAAATTACATAATCAGAAACGAACACAAATTAAACGAAAGATAATCGAGTAATGAAAAGAATAAGAAAAAAAAAGCTTACAGATACGAGTGGGAACTTGGAAGGGAAAGCGCGGAGAAAACGAGAGAGAAAGAACGAAACCCTAGAAAAGAACGATCTCAAGAAAAAGAAATTCGAGAGAGATAATAAAGGGAAAAGATCGAAATCACAGGGCTGCGTTGCGTTGTGGTGTGTTTGGGATTTGTGAGGTGAGCGTTTATTTATAGGGTAAGATTGTGGGGCGAGGGTTTGTTATGCGTTAGCGTTTGTTTAACAGCCGTCCGTGACCGTGAGAAGCGTTAAGTTCTTCAAATTGAAGTTACGGTCTTACCCTTACTCGTTTCCCGGACGCTTCATCATATTCTACTGATTGATTTCTGTTTTTCTAATTACCATTTTAATTTACCATAATATCCTCCTCTTTTTTTTCCATGATTTCAGGGTGGGTCATGTTTTCAATAATGTGTGTTACTTCCGATTTGTGTAGGGAATATTTAGTCATCATAATTGTATTTTTAAAATAATATTATAATATTCTCTATTCAAAAAGTAACATTATTAAAAAGGTGTAAAAGTAAGATAAGAATAAAAAGATTTTTTAAAAGAATTTATATAACCATTCACAAAAAGTAATATAAAAATTGACTAGTTTAACTCTTTTTTATTCTCATTATTTATTTATATTATAAAAATAATATATAATTTCTCTTATTTAGTTGATTTTTCATACAAGGACCAAATACAATTTATATATATATTTATTTTGTCATATTTAATTAATTTTTCATAAAAGAACCAAATAGAGTGTATATATTTTATTTTGTCTTATTTAATTAATTTTGCATAGAAGAATCAAATATAATTTATTAATTTACTTTATTTTGACTAGTTTCAATTTATCTGATTTTTTTTTCATAGGTTAATTTTGTAATTTATTATTGTCATTTAATTTAAATAAAATGTAATATTAATTTATTAACTCTTCAAAACGCATTACCTTAACTTTATAACAACTATTTTATAATTAACTAATAAGAAATCCGTGTTATCGTATGATTTTCGTTTAGATTCACATCACATGTCTATCAAATCATCATTTATAAAATTTAAATTTATTTTTTAATTAGTTAACATTCACATAATTATAAATACACCCTAATAATTTACATTAACTTTTAAAAAGATTCTACAATTTAATTAAAAATGATTCTACAATTTAGTCAAAAAATAAATTTTATGGTGAATTTATATAAGACAGCAGCAAAAGAAAGATTTATTTGATGAAAATTAAAGTGAATAGTTTGCAGTAATATATCATAGTTATATTCACATCTACTTGTCGATCTATGTCTCCAAGAACATTCATTACAATAAACTATCGTTTACAAACTGATTTATTTGCTAAAGTATAAAATATACTTGGGTACTCAGAGAGATGAATTTAGTTGATACATACAATAAGAATTGAATGGTATTGACTATAATATAATAATATAGATTAAGAAGGAAATAGAATGAAACAACATTTTGATTTTATTACATATAGCTTTTTTTTCCTTCGATGTTTTAAAAGTATTTGGATTATTAAATTTTTTTGTATTATCTGATTTTGGAGGAACCTATCTAGCACCCTCTAAGTTGTTTTTAGTACTCTCAAATTACCAACAATTTTACCATAATACATTTAAAATGCTAAATAGCAAGCCATAATAGGTTGTTCAAACCCTGTAATCAAATTGTCACAAAAATTTGACACTAACATATTTATGCCTGAAACGTTATTCAGATAAATTTATGTAGGCATGAATGAATCTAATAACCTGCAAAATTGGTTTTAACTTTCGAGACTGAAGTAATGTAAAGACATCAAATATTGATTACACATACACTGATAATAACTAACTACTTAGAATCCAAATCTTTTCACCACTGGGCAAGTATTTTTATGCAAAAACTCATACATGCCAGCCAAAAGAAATTGTATGTTTATTAAGGAGTGTGTTAGACATAGAGACCTCTAGTCATCGCAATTATAGGTGTTCATATCATGCAATCTATTTTTTTTATTCCTCTTGCTTTACAACCTGAAGGGTTCTAGTGCAGAAGTACCATATAATCCTTTCCCATTGTGGTATGAAACCAAGTCCTTCAATGATGTTTCCTTGTAAACTGGAGGATTATTTGGTGTCATTAACTCTCTTATAGGTCCATATATTCTTGAACTCTCGGGGGGGGGGGGGGGGGGGGGGGGGGGGGGGGGGTGTCTTTCTACCGAAACTCTTGGTCCAACTTTTCATGTGTTTAACGCTCGGAAACCAATCGTTCGAGATTAGCTGTAAAAAAATAAATAGTATATCTAAATAATTGTTGACATCGAAAAGGAAATTGGAAACATTTGGAGTTATCTAAGAGAATTAGGGAATTGGTAAACATTTGCTTACACATTGGGTTTGGGTTGTTCATATATTGAAGATTAAAGAGGTCGGGAAACACTTGGGTAGAAAATAAGGTTAATTTTTCGGTGCCTTCAGGATTGTTCTTTGGAACCTAAAGGCAAAGGTTATTTTCTTGTAACTCATATGTAATCTATTGTAATAACTTTCTGAGTATAGTAAATTAGAGATCCGCTCTCTCCTTAAGAGTAGATCGTTTGATCAAACTGGGTAAACAAACCTTCGTCTTTTTCTCGCCTTATTTTGTTATATTATTTGTGTACGAATTATTATTGTTGTGGACCATTTATTTTATTTGCTATTATTCGTTGTCTCCCAAATTGATATTGAATTTTGTCATAATTCACAACAAATGGTGCGGTGAGCATGGAACAAAGAGGTATTACTTATAAGTGAGAACCATGGTTAGATGAGATATCGAGAAATTTTTTGGTAACAAAGACTTTGGGTTGTGGAAAATTAAGACGCAAGCAATTTTAATTCAAGAGAAGTGTATTGATGCTTTCAAAAGTGAAGCATTGATGCCTGCAGAGCTTACACAGGTACAGAAGAGCAAGATGGTGGATAAGGCCATGAGTGCCATTATCTTGTGCCTCGGAGATAAAGTTCTAAGAGAAGTCGCTAGGGAGCAAATTGTGATTGCTATATGGACAAAACTTGAATCATTGTATATGACAAAGTCTTTGGCTCACAAGTTATATCTAAAATAATAACTCAATTCATTCCAAGTGGTGGAGAACAAATCCATAGTTGAGCAACTTATAGAATTTCACAAGATTATTGATGATCTTGAGAATATTGAAGTGAATATTAAAGATGAGGATAAAGCTTTTCTCTTGTTGAGTTAATTACACAAATCATTTGAGCACTTTAAGGATGCCTTATTTATGGTAAGAAAGTTATTATTACTTTGGATGAAGTCCAGACGGCGGTGAAATCTAAAGAATTTTCAAAATCGAAAAATTTGAAGATTTAAGATAGTAGTGAAAGTTTAAATGTTTCAAGAGGAGGAGGTGAGCGTAAATGGATGTCCAAATAAAAGAGGTCTGACAAGTCAAAGGTAAAAGTTTTTAATTGTCAGAAAATTAGTCACTTTGAAAGGGATTGTCCTGAGAGAAAAGGCAATGAAGATTTTGTTCAAGCTGCAGTTGCCTTGGGTGAGGAAAGTTATAAGGATGTCGGTACACTAGTAATATCGAGTTTGGAAACTTAAGATAGTTGGGTAATTGACTCGGGTTGCTCTTATTACATGTTTCCAAGAATAAAATACTTTGAAACTACAAGGATTGTGCAAGGTGGAGTAGTTCACCTTGGTAACAATAAGGCATGCAAGGTTCATGGTATTTGTACGGTCAGACTTAAAATGTTTGATGATCGTGACCTTATTCATAATGTGAGGTATCTTCCAGAACTCAAGTGAAATTTGTTATCTATAAGTATGTTTGATGATCTAGGCTATTGTACCGGAGTTGAACATAGAGTGTTAAAGATTTCACATGATGAATTGATTATTTATAAAGGGTCTAAAATATGTAGTCTATATATTTTAGAAGGTTCATGTGTTGTTATTTATTCATCGTTAAATAACGTAGGCTTTCATGACAAGGAAGAACTGTGATATTTGAGTTTAAGGTGTTATAATGCCTTGAGAAAGTTCCAGAGGAGTATAATGAACTTTGTAGAAATCAAGGGATAAAATTGCATGTCACCGCTAAGTTGTTATCGAGTTTTTGGGGAAGAGCTGAGGTTAAAACAACTTACTTGGTTGGTAGATAATTTCTTCAGAGGGAGAATAGTGAAAACCAAGGGAGAAACCTGGTAGAAACTATAACAGAGAAAACTCAATTTGAGGTGGAATTTCCTACTATGGATACTAGTAGTAGTTAGGGAACATCTATAAAGATCTATGATTAACATTTGACTCATGATAAGTTAAGGAGGGTTATTGTAGAATCATAAAGGGACGGTTATGCTAGCCTTGGATATAATGTTTTTAATGTGGCTGAAGGACGGTAAAATAAAAGAAGAAGAATCTTCAGGGAGACATTTGAAAATAGGTGGAGTCAAGGGTGCTTGAAGAATCATACCTGTAGGCTTGTTAAATTACCTATGCAGAAAGGGGTAATTGGAAACAAGTGGATTCAAGTGACGAGATCAAGATTCAAGGGTTGTTTGAATTTGATCAAGATTATTGATTAGAGTTTCAACTTGGTGGAGAACAATAATATTGTTGGTGGTTAAATTGGCATTAACACGATTTAAAGTCAATGTGGAGATTATTGTAATGTGCCTTAAAACATTTGTTGATGAAGAGAAAGAAAACATGTTTTGAGATTGTCAAAAATCAAGAAGCCGGAAAATAATCTGGTCTGAGCGGTTCATGGGTATCGAACTCGGTCGGTTCAGTTCATTGATCCATTCATTGTTAGAATGTTTTATACTAATTTTAAGATCATATAAATTAACATAAAAAAATATTATAAGATATTTATAATATTCTAAAAGATATTATAAGATATATATTTATAATATTCTAAAAGATATTATAAGAGATATATATTTATAATATTCTAAGAGATATTATAAGATATTTATAATATTTGAGAGATATTATAAGATTATAACAATATCTTTTATTCTAACCATTAATAAGATATGTTTTAGATTTTTTATGGATTTGTTGGATTTTAGCAATTATAAATATGTAGCTCTTATGTTATTATAGTGTGACAATCTTAGAGCTTATAACAAAAGGGAGAGCGAGAGTTTAAAGGCATAGCATATGGTTTTGGTTACTCTCAAGGGAAACCTTAGAAATACAAGGATTTTGGAAACCTTTGGAGTTATCTAAGAGAATTGGAGAATTGGGAAAACTTGTTTACACTTTGGGTTTGGATTATTCATATATTGAAGGTTGAAGAGGTTGGGAAACACTTAGGTAGAAAATAGGGTTAATTTTTGGGTGCCTTCTCAAGGTTGTTCTTTGGAACTTGAAGTG